GGTATACATCCTGCTCCTAGAATACTATTTGAGGAACTAGTTAACCATTCTTTCCTATACGTATCGATATACTCAGAACTTGTTCCCAGACTATGTTAGCAAAAATGATGCCATTCTGATTCTCGTTCGAAAGGTGAGAAGATGTGTCCTGTTAAAATCAAAAAAATGGTTTCCACTATTGGACTCTATCGTCTGATTTCTCTAAACCACAGTCGATATTCAGAAAGAAAACACCACGCAAAGAAAAAATAATAATGTCACACAGTACAATCTCTATGTACTGAAGGAGCAACATAAAACACCACAAGAGGTAAGCTCAGTCAAAGGAGGCAACTATTACAGTTTCCTTGTCCAGATAGAAAATCAAAGAACAAAATGAAGAAATATCAAGTATACCTTCCGATTATTCGAACAGCAGCTAAGAGATCATCCCCTCTATGTTGGCCATGATCCTAGAAAGGAAAAATCTTGTCAGACATCAAGATTCCAGAGAATGACCCTATAATAGCAGAACATTCCATCAAGGAATGAGGCATAACAGAGAAAGAATAATGAGCAGCAAAAGCAGGTGAAAAACATGGACACACAAAGTAAGTTAAAATGACAGGTAATCTGGGAGGTACTACCGTAAGTTGAGGATGGAAGTGAAGGATACCCGCACGTGCATGTGCATTTGTATATGTGTTTGCATGTGTTCTTTTCTTTTACTTTTTTCTATGTTTTAAGTGTACAGGGACATACGGACATTGATAGCGTAGGAGTGTAAGAAAGCTGAGAGAGATATCCATTGTTCAGTACAGAATTTTACTATTTTAGGTACATTGTTAGCCAGGAATATAGCAATGTCTACTAAGAGCAAAAACTACAATATTCCTCAATATGACTGACACTGACACCTGATGATTTCTATTATAAGACCATCTTAATCAGTTCAGCTTGGTATAACATAGAACAAGTAAACCACATGGCCCTCCAGCTAATAGACTGAAATGATCCCAAAACAAAAATAGCCAGGTTGCATTTATTAGCCCAATTGAAATCGAAAAATTAAAAGGAGAATTAGATCATAGTTGAGCAGGTCATGTGTTTGATCTGGTTGCAACCAAAAAATTAATGATGCAATGCATTAAGTGGTCGTATCACTCTTGAAGTCACGCTATACCACCAGCAATCATTCTTTTGACCATACAGTGTAATGATTAAAACCCATCAAAGTTGAGTTTAGATATATTACGAAAAATATTTCAGTCTGTTGTAAAAACCGACACAAATCACAGTTTATCCTGAGTTTATTATCTGCTTACCAATGCATTATAGCATATTCCCTACATCTATGCACTGGACTCAATCGTACATATTAGTCAAACAAACACATAACCAACTTTAAGCCCGATATATGGAAACAAAAACTCTGAACCTATTAATTGCCTTATTGTTTAGAACAGTTCAATCTTACCTTTGAATCCTGTAGAAAGTCTAAAACTAAATTGATTGTCTCATTTAATCCAGCAACAACTTTAGTCAGAGTACTTTCACTGAGAGGGCTACCTGCAGACAGATTCATTTTTCTATTACGTAGGCTTACAGAACAACCAAAAATGTAGAATCAAAGGAAATAATTTTCAACTATCTCACAAGCAAATAGATGATGTGTGTTGCCGGGAAAAGAAAGAAAAATAAATGTGCATGGAAATGTAATGGCACATGCATAGTCTCAATGAAGTAAATATGAGACAATAATCACATTGGCACTTTAAGACAAATGTAACAACTAGTTTCAATTTTTTGTTCCTCTTATGACAAATGTTTGAGTAACAGTCAATAACAACATACAAAACTTTTTTTATTCATAAACTAGTTTAGGACATTCGGTACACAATAAAATACCACTAAAAGAGATATCAGACCACCATGGATTCAAGTAACCTGGAAGGAAATGATCATAGTAACCTAATATTAATGAAATGGAGAACCAAGTTAAAGTTGAAGGTAAAGATATGATTACCTTTGATCTCACTTGCATGTGAAATTAGTTTAATGATCTTCTCTATCAATGAGAATGTAATCGCCAGATTTCGCTGCTTAATCAGAATGGATTCATTATTAACAGAACTTTTTGAAGCTTCATATTTGGAATAGGCAAGTTCATTGAGCAGAACAGCAACTTCAACTCTTGCTGTCTCAAGAACAAGTAACATATACCTGCAAAGTTGATAAGATTAATAAACAGTTTCAAGAGATTAACTTTCTCGAGAACTAAATGTTTCACTTACTTGTCAACCGGCATTTGGATTTGGTTATCATGCATTTCAGTCTGTTCTACCAGCCAATCTTCACCAAGTATTGACATCATAGACTCAGCCAGAAGAAGGGCATGAAGCTTTTCTCTAGAAACTACATATTTGAGGATAATATCAATGTCAAACAGCTACATAGCCAGCATAAAAGCTCATCATGTATTAAATAAATAAAAAAGTGATTATGTGATAGAGAAATACATAGACTTGAAAAATATCTCCAAAAAAGTAAACGTGGAAAATGTGCCCCAAAAAACTTAAATTAAATTGGTTCTAAAATTAGTGAGTAAACCAATATATATATACTTATTTAATACATATATGCGCATTTGTATAATGTAGTTAGTAGTTACCGATATATACTTAAGTGCATCCTATCACATTAGAGAATTTATAGAATTTAATTTAAGTTAATTTATCTAGTTTCACAATTCTGTTCTGTTAAGGTTGAGCAAATATTTGGACTTTGTTAGAGTAAGTTACTGAAAGACTGTTAGAGTATAATCCATATGATAATTATTACAAGAAACAATTTAGCCTTTTAAGATGAGTACATATAATTCTACATGGTTCACACACATTCATCTTACAGAATGCTAATAAAAATCACAGAAAATTGGAATTCTAATTTGACAGGATCCCTCTTTAATTAAATTAGGGTAACAATTTTCATAGAATTAAAATTAGCTTGGGATTCAAATAGATTGATTCCTTTTTAATTAGAATTGGATTCTAACATGATATGTTTTCTTTCCAATCCTACAATTAGTTCTGAGAAATTAAGGCAAAAGTTGCAAAATGCTTCAATTTTCCTCAAATTTTAAAAGATCCCTATTTAAATGGAATGACAGATAGATCTCTGCCTCTAAACATTGTTTTAAATATCCCGATATAGGAGATATATCGGGGCTGATATATCCTTTTATAAGATTTGGCGCAAAATGATATGGTGTCAATATCCTTTACCACTTTTTGGCAATTTTTGGGCGATACATTTCCGACATGGCCAATATATCAGCCAATATGTTAGCCAATGTGTCATTTTATATGGCTTGATGCAAAATAATATACCGCTTTTAGACATTTTTGGACAATATATCATGAGTTTCCCAATATATCAAGTGGCATGTCAGCCTCAAACAAATTGGCCAAAATGTTGCAATGTCAAATTGATCTTTTATTTGTTTTAAGAGAATAGTTTAGATCTATGGCTCAATTGAGTATATGTTTAGATTTCATTAAGTATGTTAGATTGTATTTTAGGAACATTATATCATATATGCACATCATACATATGGCACTCCGATATTTACTACATATCCTCGATATTTCCCCGATATCCACAATCTGGTATAGATATTGGTCATTTGATACTTCCCCAATATCCAATATTTAAAACCTAGCTTCTAAGGTTTCGTTTTGATTTTCAATTCATGCAAGTAACATGGTACATTTCATCAATGCATAGTGTACCCTCTCCAACAATTACTCACTTCTCAACCCAATAATATCGCAGCTACGAAGATTAATAAATTTAATTTACTCGGAAAACATTAGAAAGTAAAATGCTCTTTGAAAAATAGACTGCTTGAAAAAGCATGTGTTTCAAATAATAGATTTAAGTTCCAGATTGCCAAAAATATATATCTTTCTTATTTGATATCCGCATAATATAAAGTAGGGTAGAAATACAACATACCAACACGATTTTGTAGAACTGCTGTGATGCCAAGACGTACATGAGATGCCCAAGTTGCAGTTGGCATTGACCTCAGAGCATCACGAAGTAACTTCAAATAACAGAACAAAGTTAACTAAGACCTTTCAATAAAATACGTAGAAAAAATCCAATGATAGTTATAACTAAAATAATCAATGATAACTGCAATCATGAATCAGAATCTGAAAAAACATTCTTATGCACTGCTATATAATACATCACATATGGAACTCAAAAAAGAGACTATATCACACGCACTCGCACATAAAATATACATATCAAATTATCAATGTATACATACATATATCAATAGATACATATACATACATATATACATATGTAACATCAATGTAATGAACATTGATAAATCAATATAACGAAACAAATTTGCACCACTCGTCCCTTTTCTTCTGTAGTTCATAATTCAGAAGCAGATACTTTCAGAAGCAAAAGAACAAGGGTAAGAAAAACTAGGGTTGGGCGCGGGACGGATCGACCCGTGGGCTGTCCCGACCCAGCCCGCCATGGGTCATGACCTG